CATGGACAGTATATATAGCACATACGTTCTTCATTGGCAGAACGTATGTGGTAGCCAGAAGAACGGCTACTTCATTTCAGGGAATTTTGGCAGATTTTTTGAGGACGTGTTGGCTTATGAATGAAAAGTTTTCTCCATTAATTCGCATCCTTTTACACTGACTCAGACATAAGTCAGCACAAATGTTTGCTGACACGTTTATGACTGGTTTTTCCTGCTTAGGCCGGCCACACACGTGCAGTTTTAACTGACAGTTATGACTGTTCAGTTATAACTGTCACAGTTCAAACTTACGTCAGTTAAAAATGAAATGCACACACACTCACACAGTTCAATCCCTCAGTTTTACCATGGATTCCGAGGAGTACGATCTTGCCGCTCTTGGTTCTTTGTAATGCTACAAGCAAATAGAAAAAAGAAAACTAAGAAGCGTAAGCAGTGGTGCAAAAAGTGGTTACTAAGGCGAAATCAATGTTCTGATATTAAATTGTTAAAGGAATTAAGTGAAGAAACAACATCTTTCTTTGTGCGGTCATGATACTCTTCACTTTTAACTTGCCACAGGCAAGGTTCAGATCGATAGAGTTCAATGAATTCAACAATCACTTTGTTTTGTTCACGTGCCATCTCAAATTGCACTCACCGCTACCACCTGTAGAAATGAGAAGTTGAGAACTGTACAGTTACGAATCCCCACACACGCTCAGTTCAGTTACTCCTTTCAGTTAAAAATATGGAACATTGCATTTGTCGCAGTTTAACTGTACAGTTCTGTTGAACTGACGAAATGAGCAACTGAGATACCCACACACGTGCAGTTTTAACTGATAGTTTTAACTGAACAGTTATAACTGTTAGTTAAAACTGCATGTGTGTGACCGGCCTTAGGGTGGCGGAGGGGGGGGGGGGTTGAACTCAACTACCACATTGGTTGTGTTACCCATTGTTACGAACCTTGTATCGTGTAGAGATATTTTGGTAAGACGTTTCAAAGTACTAAGTAACATTTGTTTCCTGGCGGTAGCAAGTCAGCTGGGAGGTCATGTGTCGCTGATATCACTCCGCCAAGAAAAAATGGATTCATCTATATAACCTACTAATGGAGTAAGGTTAAATGGGAATTAATGGAGACTGATCAGGAATGATGAGAGATCTGGTATCAAGGGGCGGGTGACGGGGCAATACCAGTCATACGCGATTGAGGCTTGATTTAATAACCTAAGCTACTCTATCCCTTTGAGATGTATTTCTTTCTTATCTCAATAAACATATCTCAATAGACTTATCTCAATAGACTTGATTTAATAACCTAAGCTACTCTATCCCTTTGAGATGTATTTCTTTCTTATCTCAATAAACATACTTGAACTTGAACTTGATGGAGAGAAGACGTGTTTACTGTCTGCTTGAGGGTTTAAGGTTATAGTCTGCCAGATATTCAGATAAAAACATAATTTTGTATTTACTCACTTTTGCAGGAGATCCTACAGTAGTTTGAGGTACTACCAAGTGAGATAGAGTCCAGGCTTCTTAATATATTTAGATGTGTCTGGAAACTATGCTGGTCTGTAACCCGTCCTAATACTAAGTCCATTCCATCCAGCGGTCGTCCCCAAAAATGCATTCATCAGTTTTAACATGCTCTTCATTCAAAACAGGAATTTTCTAAGATATAAATTGATATTGATATATATATTAGCATACTGTGTATATTTAGGCATTAGTTAGGTTAGGTGTTTAAGTTATGTTGGCGATTATTTTTATTTGTAGTACGTGTGAAGCATTTACAGCGTTGTGGTTCGAACAAAAGTCGTCAGCAAAGCACTTGTTCCGAAAGTGTTCGGACGTCATCAATTGTGAGTCGTGTGTAAACCGCTTTTCATTCATGAACAGGGGGTTTGGCGGGTGCATGGAATGGAATTTGGCCTTTGTTGATGAGGACGAGCTGTGGACTGTGTGCTTGTTCTGTAAACTTACCACTATCAGACCAGAGTATGAAGGTTTACCATATTTCTTGTCTTGTTTAAGAAAGGTAAACCATATTGGTGAGTGATTATTAATATACCGATGTTTGAAGTTCTGTAGGATAAGGAGAGTTTTCTCCTGAATATTTTACCAAATTATTTGTAGTCTTGTAAATATATATTTTATGGTTGTTACTCTATTCAGACGTTTCTATTCTCCTGTTGGAATTTCCCTCGGGTTTAACTAGAAGGCTAACATTAATCTTACTTTCCCTCACAAACAAGTAACTTAAGTATAACTATATGACCAGAACAATAGCCTAGGAACACGGCCACACACATGATTGGCCACACGACTACACTTATGATTGGACACACGACCAGACTTATGATTGGCCACACTTATGATTGGATATTAAGGCCGTGACAGAGCGTTAAACATCAGCAACAACTCATAAAAGACTGTGACACAGAAACGGGTTCCTGACTGTTAACGGTATAAGTTAACGGGTTGTAGACGTTATACCCATTGTATCATCTTTTTGCTCTAAAGCATACTCCCTATTTTCGATCAATCTCCATTAAAAAAATACCCTATTACGATGATTTCCACAATCACCTGTATCCTATTATAATTATATTTAGAATGTCGCTCCAACATACAATACTAGAGATCAATTTTGAGATTAACAACTATTTTGGTTAATTTTAAAATATCAGGTTAAAATATTGAAATAGTAAACTAGAAATCGATGTTAGAATTAAAGGAATTGTATTCAGAATATTGGGTACAAAGTAATCCAGGATATTTTCATTTCGTTAAGAGTACAGTAGAAACCAAATAGTGACAGTAATGGGTTTATTTACATTCACTGATACCGGTAAATGGCAGTTTTCTAAGTGCCATTTACCGGAGTGTCACCGGTAAATGGGTTTTCAGGAGTGCTTCACTTACAGACAATCTCCCATTTAATTCTCCAACAGCATATGAGTGTCCCACCTTCCTTGGTGGGATCACTTTTATATATTGATTATATATTTTATATCTCTATTTTATCTCTTGACTTTCACCTTAGTCATCACATACGTCATCTATATTTTCAGGAGATTTATCTTAACGACTGTTACGAAAATGAGCCTTTATATTCATCTTGCAACCCAGAGGATGAAATTTCTTAAGTAATGTTTGAATACAATATTAGTAATTTTCAGGCTTGGTTTGTTTTGTTTTTGTTTCCCAGGAAATACATCTCAGCCGTCACTCAAGAATTCCATGTTCTTTCTCCATATCATTAACGGAGCTTTCGAAATGCTGATCTCTCATTAGTTTCCGGTTTTGTGGCCTATCAAACCCGCCAGCTTTTATTTTTTTTATAACTGCGACTTGGAAATGTTTTGCATATGCATTAAAAACAGTCACCTTCTATTCTCAGAGCTTTAACACACTGCTTCATTAGACCCAGTTTGATGTGTAGGAGGAACAATTATTATTTTCCCTACATACAAGTAGTTAAAGTTTTTCTGTTTGGTTCTCCGATATTTAAGCATGTTCTAACCTGTGTGGTTCTTCTGAGCCTAATGGCTGTCATTAGCTCAATGATCCCACACGCACAATAAACACGAACATTTCCTGTATCCTCCTCATTGTTCAAGTACAAAGTCAATATGCTGGATTATCTGTGTGGATTTTTAACATCCACGGAGATAATCCAGTTATGGTCATTATATCTGAGAAACTCGAGAACTTTTTATAATGTGTCCGTGTTCATCTTTGAGACGTATAGAACGACCAGTGGGAACTGAGCCTCATGAATGTCGATTATTGACAAACAAAATTTAGGCTCCTCTTTTAAACCATGAAGACAAAATCGCCCTCATTTAGGTCATAAAGTGTCACACCAATTGTTCTTAACTAACCTGACACGTCGTGACAATGAACTAAATCGCTGTCAGCTCTAAATAGTTGTAATATATATATTTGCCCTCAAGAAAAAAATACTGCTTTTGTTCGACGCTGAAGTTATTTCTTGGCACTTAATCTCGACGTTAGCAATTTTGAATGAAATTGAAAATTCAATTGAAAGACTTAAATATCGTTTTAAGTCTGTTTGGTAAGTCAGACAATCGACTTGAGAATGGTCCAGGACGGACCGAAACGTCGTCGTTCCTTCACCTTCTAGTGTGTGGTCTGGTCAACATACTTGAGCCACGTTATTGTGACTCCTTGTCTGCATCGTTCTAAGCCATTGAATTTGGCACTGAGACCTTGAGATTGATCTACGTGTTCTTCAAAATCCACATTAGAATCTTGCTCGTCCTTATGTGAAGGATCTCTTTTAAAAAACTGTTTCAGTTGTTCCATCTGAATGGGGCTTTTGCTTATTTTCTTTACTGTAATACGACTTGGTATTTATGTGATTTTATGTGGTTTATGATATGTGATTATGTGGTTTTATTTAGGAGGCATTTATGTGTTTTTTCAGCTCCTGCAATATCACTGGAATGCCAAATGTCAGTTTTTTATAGCTTTCAACAGAAATTTCAACGCAAATTTTCAAAACTGGGATACTTGATGTGGCGCCCAAGACGCCTCCTCATCTTCACGTCTAACTGGAAAACAAAATACATCTTAGCAAATTCACTTGTATTCGTCCTTTAAGTGGGTACAGAGTCCACATATATAATAAAATGCATCAGGACGATTCAAACACTTCCTTCTAGCAGCAGCCATTTTCTGACACATGAAAAGAAACGTTAATTTAAGGAAAATTAAGGAATTTAAGAATAATTTAAGGAAAGGATTAATTAAGATAGTCACCACATAACTTAACACCACATAACTTTCCTCATATGTGATCTTCCCTGAACTTGCCACAGGTGGGTATGCTGTTGAAAAAAAAAAAAAACAGGTAAAGGCAAAAATGTTCTTAAAAAAAACTTGTAGAAAATGCAAAATACCACTGAACAAAAAATTAACGTGATAGGCAAACCCGATTTTAGTTTTTATATCGGTGCTTGAAAATTAGTTAAAACAAAATGTCAGATCTTAGCAGAAAAGGAAAAAAAAATATGGAAACACTGGAGAGTGTGGGGCTGGGGTTCCTCTCAGCCCAGGCAGGGGCTGAGAGGGACCCATCTTTTTGGTGGCATTGTTGTCATAATCTTCGATATGCCTCCACGCCCACCCAGCCTCCTGGCCCACACGGCCTCCACGCCCACCCAGCCTCCACGCCTACACGGCCTCCACACCCACCCAGCCTCCAGGCCCACAAGGCCTCCACGCCCACACGGCCTCCACACCCATCCAGCCACCACGCCCACACGGCCTCCACGCCTACACGGCCTCCACGCCCACCCAGCCTCCAGGCCCACACGGCCTCCACACCCACCCAGCCTCCAGGCCCACCCAGCCTCCAGGCCCACACGGCCTCCACGCCTACACGGCCTCCACGCTCACCCAGCCTCCAGGCCCACACGGCCTCCACACCCACCCAGCCTCCAGGTCCACACGGCCTCCACGCCCACCCAGCCTCCACGCCTACACGGCCTCCACGCCCACCCAGCCTCCAGGCCCACACGGCCTCCACACCCACCCAGCCTCCAGGCCCACACGGCCTCCACGCCTACACGGCCTCCACACCCACCCAGCCTCCAGGCCCACACGGCCTCCACGCCCACCCAGCCTCCAGGCCCACACGGCCTCCACACCCACCCAGCCTCCAGGCCCACACGGCCTCCACACCCACCCAGCCTCCAGGCCCACAAGGCCTCCACGCCTACACGGCCTCCACACCCACCCAGCCTCCAGGCCCACACGGCCTCCACGCCCTCCCAGCCTCCACGCCTACACGGGGTCCACGCCCACCCAGCCTCCAGGCCCACACCGCCTCCACGCCCACCCAGCCTCCAGGCCCACACGGCTTCCACGCCCACACGGCCTCCACGCCCACCCAGCCTCCAGGCCCACACGGCCTCCACGCCCACACGGCCTCCACGCCCACCCAGCCTCCAGGCCCACACGGCCAGGTTCGGGCCAACTGGAGCCGCCATTCCGTGCACACCTCTTGAGTCAAGAGATAATGGTGGCCGCGACATCATCATCTGCAATATTGGTGTAGTTTACCTCTGGGGCTGGTCAAGACTTCATCCTGTGTTGGTCATAATGGTTCTTCTGCTCTTTCTCATCAACGTCTCTTTCTCAGCACCGGTTCTCCTCCTTCACCTATTACTTCCTTCTCTTCCTTTTCATTTTCCTCTAATTCCCTCTCTTACATTTACACATTCTCCTCCACATTTTTCTACTTATACTGATTATCTCCTTCACTTAACGTCCCATTCTCTCTCTCTCTCTCTCTCTCTCTCTCTCTCTCTCTCTCTCTCTCTCTCTCTCTCTCTCTCTCTCTCTCTCTCTCTCCATCTACCCCATTTGTGTCTACCATACAATTCCTCTCTACGTTTCCGAATTTCCCACCTAATGTCTACCCCCCCTCCCATCCAGTTTCTTCTCTTTCATACCCATTATCCTATTTTTCCAATTCCATTAATATCATACAATTATTTTCCCCCCCCTCTCTGCAATAACCCCCTTTTTTCACACCCAAGCTCTCCCCTTTCACTATCTTCCCCCACATTATCTTCCCCCTCAAACAACTCTATGGAAGTCGTACCTTCTCCCCCCCTCTTCGGTCACAAATAATTTCATTTTTTTCTCTCTAATGCTATTCCTTAACCCCCCCCCCCCCCTTCCCCATTCCCTACAACAGGGTTCCATTGCTGTAGTCCCTGCTACTCTCTGAAGACCCTGTACCCGAGGCTCTAGCTCTTGGACCTACGTGATACAATGGTTGGAAAATAAATTGTAATATTTTTTCTCTCACGAAAAATATGAATTAATGGTAATCAATGTAATGCGCATTTTAAGCTTAATTTGCAAGGCAAGATATTGTTAGGTGGACCACAGAACTGGCAGAAAGTATGGAACGGTAATTATCCGGAGAAAGGTAATTAATTATCATGAGAAAGGTAAAGTAATTATCAGGAGAAAGTAAAGTAATTAGAAGAAGAAGGTTAATTATCAGGAGAAGGTTAATTATCAGGAGAAGGTTAATTATCAGAAGAAGGTTAATTATCAGAAGAGAAGTAAGGTAATTATCAGAAGAGAGGTAAGGTAATTATCAGGAGAAAAGTATAATAATTATCAGGAGAAAAGTATAATAACTATGAGGAGAAAGGTATGATAATTATCAGTAGAAAGATATGGTAATTATCAGAAGAGAGGTAAGGTAATTATCAGGAGAAAGATAAGATAATTTTCAGAAAGGTATGGTAATTATCAGAAGGTAATTATCAGGAGAAAGGTAATTATCAGGAGAAGGGTAATTATCAGGAGAGAGGTAATTATCAGGAGAAATGAAGTCAAACTCTAAGTTAACATGACAATATATCACTTGAAATGAACACGAGAATAAGAATTGTGACTTAAGAAAGTGTGAAGGCACGTCGGCCCCCAACCACTTGGAGCGTTGGTGATCAATAGCCGACCTTGATAGCTGCAAGGTCGTCGCTCTCCCAGACCAGTCCAGGTAGAGCACCCAAAACTGACAAAGATACGAGGGTGACTATGACGCGAAACCGCTCAGCAACAATTCCAGGTTGTTTTGAATCTTAGGTTCGAGTCCCTTAAGAGTTCAAGATGATTTTATTATTATTATTATTATTATTATTAATATTATTATATCTTACTAACTCGATCCTCTTCATATTGGATAGTGTGAAAGGTTTTCATAATTTTCATTAATTTTTTTTCATGGTGTTCAGATCTTGTCTGTCACGTGGTTATGATGTAACAATGGGTTCGGGTTCCCCTCTCTTTACTTCCTTCTTTCTACTCCCTCTACCCGTATTCTTACTTATTATTCTCTACCAAGGGACTCCAAAACTTTTACCAAAGCCAACTCCACGCCACGTGGTCCTAAGACGATTGACCGACTTAGGATTCTACACCCAGTATGACGTGACCTAAGCTCTGAACAAAACCCTAGAGTCACCTCTGCTGCCACCACCAGACCAGTAATACAAGAGCAATGATCGAGGTCTGGATCGATCACGCTAATTAATCAACCTAGGGGCTTGATCCCCACTATAAACGATGACCTTGAGTGTGGAATAAATTACACGGTAATGATAATTCCGATTCGATGTTAGAATCGGCGCCCAATGCAACTCTGCCTCGTGTGGACCACGTGACCAGGACAAGTATACACATAAAACACATGGAAACAATAAAATGCAAATTAATAACAAATTTAATTTATTAAAAAGAAAACTAAAACAAAATCTAAATATGTTCACTCCCTATCACTTTAACACTCCCTACTTGACCTGAGTGGCAAATGAGACTATTTCTATACTTAACAATAGCAACTATACCTTGGGCTACCAGCTAGATGTCTTGGCTGGTCTAGGGGAGAGGTAAGATGTTTGACCTCTCCTAGCTGCTTCCGTGACCACACTGATTTGTCCTCGTCTGGCCTAGCCCAGACTAGAACCTTGTATCCTTCCGCCTAGTCAAAGTTTTTCCAAGTTACTAGCCAGGTTTAAGTTATAACAATTAACCTCTGTTGTACTTAATTGATCCAGACTGGTTGAATTATTTTACTTTAATTAGATTACACAAACATCTAACGGCAAAGCTGTTCCCGATCACAAAAATGGTTATTAAAACTTTGAGAAATATTAGACATGTCAACCCTGCTGACCTATGACCGCCGGTCACTCCGCCTTAAAAGTTAGATCCGATTCGTGACGTCACTGATGGTGACTTAAACTCAATAATTAGAATACTCTTGATATTGTATCCAGTACTATTATACAATACAATTTTAATGCAAAATGAATAAAGGCTAATTTTCTCTAAATTACTGAATACTATAGGATGATTCATTTGTGCGGGGGGGTTGTAACAAACTAGGCTGTTGTAAGAATTATCCAGAGTGGTTTATCGACAAAAGAGAATGGGAAGCTGAGCCGCATGGTGACCTGACCCCCAGGGGAATTCGCGGTGGAAAAACTTTGACTAGGCGGAAGGATACAAGGTTCTAGTCTGGGCTAGGCCAGACGAGGACAAATCAGTGTGGTCACGGAAGCAGCTAGGAGAGGTCAAACATCTTACCTCTCCCCAAGAACAGGCCCAACACCTAGAACTGTGGTCGCCCAAGGTATAGTTGCTATTGTTAAGTATAGAAATAGTCTCATTTGCCACTCAGGTCAAGTAGGGAGTGTTAAATTGATAGGGAGTGAACATATTTAGATTTTGTTTTAGTTTTCGTTTAATAAATTAAATTTGTTATTAATTTGCATTTTATTGTTTCCATGTGTTTTATGTGTATACTTGTCCTGGTCACGTGGTCCACACGAGGCAGAGTTGCATTGGGCGCCGATTCTAACATCGAATCGGAATTATCATTACCGTGTAATTTATTCCACACTCAAGGTCATCGTTTATAGTGGGGATCAAGCCCCTAGGTTGATTAATTAGCGTGATCGATCCAGACCTCGATCATTGCTCTTGTATTACTGGTCTGGTGGTGGCAGCAGAGGTGACTCTAGGGTTTTGTTCAGAGCTTAGGTCACGTCATACTGGGTGTAGAATCCTAAGTCGGTCAATCGTCTTAGGACCACGTGGCGTGGAGTTGGCTTTGGTAAAAGTTTTTGGAGTCCCTTGGTTTAGAAATAAAAGTAAGAATACGGGTAGAGGGAGTAGAAAGAAGGAAGTAAAGTGAGAGGACCTAAACCCGTGTTACAATGATGTATCTACTCGATATCGCCGAGCCTTCCTGTATCAACCCAATCAATGACTCAAAGTATTTTATATATTGTGATCATATTCCAGCGTTCCTTCTAAGTTTCTCCAGTAGTGTGAAATCCAACATGAGATTATCCCTTATCTTATCATTTGCCACGCTCTTTAGTTTCTAATCCGATTCCAAACTTTGGATCTTTTAGATATCTTAATGTGCCTGGTGGAACAAGGGTTGTTCCACGTCAGGAACGTCCCTCACTGATCATGGCTCGCGCTTAAGTCATGCAAATAATTCGGGAAGATTCGTTGTTCAGGTTTCTTATCAATGCAAGTTTGTATCTTCATATTAAATGAAGAAGGTCTAGCTAATTACTCATGTACGTGGCCTGACCTCGTGGGCCTGTCTTCTCACACGTGTCTACAGCTTTAGAAATGGTGACCAAACCACATTTTAGAAGATGGAAAAAAACAACTACGTTGAAGTACGTTTATGGAGATAAAATATATTTCAAAGGGATATTAATATATATATCAAAGTATGCAGAATAACCACATGTGAAAAATAGAAAATGCTTAACGCGTTTTCGGCTAATTCGCCTTCATCAGAGCAAAGTAGAATGAAGATGATCTTCATTCTACTTTGCTCTGATGAAGGCAAATTAGCCGAAAACGCGTTAAGCATTTTCTATTTTTCACATGTGGTTATTCTGCATACTTGGATCAGTGTTTTTGTGATCATTATTGCATATCAAAGTATATATATATACATTTTATCAAAGTTTATAATATATATATCAAAGGGATATCAATATATTTCAAATATATTTCAAAGTGTTTAGTGAGGATCCACAAGGTCTTCTCTGAGTACTCTTTATTTTCTTCTCCGAGGCTATGGGTCCCTACACTTGCACCAGAGGTGGTACCCCTTCTAGGTTTCAAAGGTATAGAATATCTTGGGCTATTTCTACCCTCCTCTACCTCAAGTCCCTCAAGGAAGAGCACCAATCCAGTGAGTACAAATCCACAAATCACGGTACAAGAATCACATTTTACATTGCAGGTTAATATAGTAAACACAACATATAAGTGTTATCATTAACACTTTAATTAATTAATGGTATTTACCATTATCAAGTCGCATTGGTCCAGGACGGACCGAAACGTCGTCGTCCCTTCACCTTCTAGTGTGTGGTTTGGTTAACTTACTATAGCCACGTTATTGTGACTCATCGCCTGCATATGGAAGATCATGCGAGGCGGTCTCAAA